GATTAAATTTTTAATTCTACTCTGTCTGGCTCTTTCCTTCATACTAGATACAGTCATTAGGCCCAAGAAGTCATTAAAGTGTTTAATAAGGTTATTAAATTGAGTAACTGCTGCCGCCGAGGCAATTTTCATAGGAAATCCATATGATTCTAGGTATGGAACTCAGAGCCATCCTCTGTGGCTGACAGGCTGTCAACATTCTTTTGAAGGATGGTGGGCACCATCATGAGGGATGTATCTAATTAAGAGACTGTAGGTGAACCTTGGCTTCCTGGGTGTACTATTCATAGCTGGAAGTACGGCGAAACTTCACTAATTCCTTGTAATTGTGGGGTGGTGGAGGGGAGGCCCATCTGAATTATAGAATATTTTAAAATAAGTGTACTTTTATTACTTTCAAGCATATATTTTAACTCCAACTAGGCAAACAGATTGTTGTGTGGTACAAGTCTTTGGGGACCCAAGTTATTGAAGCTATCAGAATGATTTTCAATTATTTCTATGTAAATAGGTGCTTCCGGAGTTCCTCAGGGTGCTTGAAAACAGTTTGTTCTCATACATCTTAACCCTGGCGCTTGTAGCCGTATGCTGTTAATTGGCACACCCTTCGAGAAAGGGGTTTGTTAAATTAAGATAAACTTTAGACCAGCTGCTAAATAACTTATCATTAATTCATGGAGTCCAAGAACCCAAGTGGATGAGGTTTTTATTTCAAATGAAGCTTGATCTCATTTCTTTCCTGAAGACCATTCATTCAGGCATTCATTTATTCATCCAGCAATATTAATAGAATGCCTTGGATGTGCCAGGCACTCAAGTTATACAGGACAGCCTAAGCCATACTAGAGTTGCTTAGCATCTGATAGGGGAGACCTACAGGTAATTCCAGTACAGTGATGTGTGGTGAGGAGGGCTGGTGCCCAAGGGCTGCCCAGGGGCATAGAGTAAGGCCAGACCTGTAAACCAGCCTGCATGAATCTCAGGATTTCCAGAGGGATTCCAGAAGGATTTCCAGAGACTAAGATGCATTTTGATCACTTTTTTTTTTTTTTGGCTAGCTAAACCGTCCTGCCACCTGTTGGCAGCTCAGCTCAGGCTGGGCATCGAACTGCTTGCTGTTGCTCAGAGCTCACACTCTTGAGCGAGCTCTTAACCAACTGAGCCACTCGGCCGGCCCCTCTAAGATGCATTTTGAAAAGTGAATTGGAGTTAGCAGAAAATAAAGAAGATGATGATGAAGAAAAAAGCAGAAAGCGGGGGCATGGTGGGTGGGGGACAGCAGTTCTGGCAGAGAAATCCGCTGGTTCAAAGGCATGGAGATACAAGATGACATGTTGTGTATGGGGACCTAAGCTCAGCTTTGGGAGATGAGTGGAGTGAAAATCATGAAAGGCTCTGTTGTGCGAGCTAAAGAGTTTGAACTTGATCTTGAAGGATATGGGGCGGTTTTTGAAGGATTTTCAACAGGAAAATGATACCATCAGATGTGTGCTTTGGTGCCATTCTTGTCTTAGTGTGGGGGATGAATTGGTTGCAGGCGGCCCTTGAACCAGAGGGACGAGAATGTGGGTTCAAAGGAGGGTGCGTCTGGAGGACTTGGTCAGTGTGGATTTGGGAGGTGAGTCGTAGGAGTCTGGGGTGACCGGGTGTCTGGCTTGGGTTGTAGGGGCTGAGATGGGAGCAGGGTGGTGTGAGAAGGGTGTGGACTCTGTGTGCTCATGGGACTTCCAGGTGGCATTGTCTAGGCAAGAGGCCGGACACGTGCAGAGAGGCGTGGGCTGGGCTGGAGATGGCATCATCAGCTCATGCTGGGTGCTTGAGATCATATGTTAGGATAAGGTCACCCTGGACTTGCAACAGGGTGTGAAGGACAGCAGCCTGGGATGGCTCTCAGGCCCACAGCAGCCTTTAAGAGAACGAGAAAGAAGAAAGTCCGCCATCCACAAAAGAATTAGTGATATTTTGCGTTCCAAGTTAAAAGATTTTCAGGATTGAAAAAAAAATATTTGAAGTCTTAGCACCATAGTTCATTTTGAGTGTGCATTTAAAATGCATCGCTGTGTTCTTTTTTTTTTTTTTTAAATGGGAAACTGGGTGCTTTTTAATTAGTGTGGTGAGCAATGCTGTTCTGAGAAGACATTTTTTCCCCAGCGTGGTTTTAGGATATGTATTCAACATACCCTTCCCTAAGAAGATTAAAGATTAGACTTAATGAGTAATAATAACAGTAGAGTCTGAAAATTCCAACCCATTGCGATGAAGAGAAGAGATTCTTTACAAATTTGTCATTACGCTGTCCATTCCTTTTCCAATATTATGAAGGGCTTGCTCTGAGCAAGTACTGTGAAACCTTTAGGTCCCTCTGCCTCTCGCTAAAAAGTTACAGTGTTAGAGTGATTGCTACCTTGTTCTTAAATTAATGATTTGTACTTTAAAAAAAGGTATACAGTTGGTTTAACTTTTCTTAATTGCTTATTGTCAATGTCTACGGGAAGACCTCAGTGCTTTGGGTTCATAAGCATTTTCCTTACTAAAAAAAAAAGAATACATTCATGTAGCACTTAATGAAAAATTTCCGTGTTTTCACCAGTATTTTAGAATTTGATCTTCCTAATAACCAGCTGAGATAGGCTGGACAGGCATCAGTCCCGTTTTCCGGGTGTGGAAACAGAGGCTCAAGTTCGTAATTTAGGAAGTGGGTGAGCCAGAATTTTCCCTGCGTCTTATGACCATAATATCAGTGCTCTTTCCATGAGAAGGGGACATGTTACTCAAAGCTCGTATGTTAATAGTTGGGCAATAGCAAACAAATAGGGGGAAAACATGCCCCGTTTGTTTTTGGTTTTTTTCAGAACTTTTTCATTACTGTCATCGTTGATTAATAATATGTTGAGTGGTCAGGGGGTATGTGATGCTGTAGTAACTGTGGATTTTATAGTTTTGAGTTTAGAAACACCTTTTAAAAATCGTATGTTTGCAGCAGGTTGACAAATGTGTTTTCTTGTCTTTTCCTTCTTGTTTAATCAGTGTACAGGCCCACCATTTCGTAACAGGTCCATGTCTTCCGTTACTAGGGAATATTGAGCTGTTGGAAATATTTCATTTCCCTTTGGGTGTATTTAAGAACTTCTGTCTCTCCAGTGGAAAAGTGGAGCTGCCAGTGCCCTGTGAGGGAGCGTGGCTCACATGTGACCTGATGACTAGGAGCCTTCTGGCTCAAAGTGGGGCAGAATAACCTTGTTGGTCGTTGGGAACATTCTGCCAACACTGTGCCAACCTCTCCATTAGGCACAATGCCCAGGGCCCCACAGTGCGTTTAGGGGCCCATGAAAAATATTTCATTTTTTTAAATCAGAAAAATAAAATAAACTTTTAAAATAAACCTTTTAAAGAAAAGGTTTTACTCTATTATTGTTATATATATTCACATTGATGCCAGTACAGCTGTAAAGTATGATTTTTAGTATGTATGTATTTTGTAAAGGAAAGGGCCTCTGAAAGCAGAAGCACCCGGGGCCCATGAAAGTCAGAATGCAGCTGCGCGCACGTGTGTGTGTATGTGTGTGTGGGGGGGGTATTTGGAAGGATAAATATGGGCTCCTCTGAACTCTGTTCTTCTCTCCTATTTCTCACCGATTTGCCCTGTTCACCGATTCATTGATGGTTGATTTAGTCCTTCTAAGAACTGTGGGTGTGTGGAAAATACTCCAGGAAAGTGAGTTACACACACACACACACACACACACACACACACACACACACATACACACACACACGAGACTGAGGTGAAATGTGGACAGACTAGGGGCAGGGTGCCGGGGTTTTCTTTCAGTTTCCATCTCTGGGCAGGATCTACGTTATCTCTGATGCAATCTCCCTACGCCTCATAATTTAGAAAGTGCTTTTGAGAAATAAGAGCCAAAATATTTATTATTATTATTATTATCTTGTTTTTATTGTCTCTCTGTCTTCTAACTGACTTTCAGAATACATAATGAAAAGACTTTAAAATAAGCCCTTTTTGGAACAGTAACTCATAATCCCTATCTACTGAGGGCAAGCAGTGTTGGGGGCAGGGGAGGGGGGGTGGCCTGCAATGCAAGAACAAAGCATCTGTTGTCTTAGAAGGTGAACTTGATAAATGGTAAGAGTTCTTTTCAGGGAATATTTTTCTCCTTTCTTTAAATCCTCTGCACTGAAAATCCACATTTTATTATCTTATACATAATGGAATGGACATGCTCTGTCCAACCCCAGTCTTGCTTCTGCTCTATCTAAAGTGTTTGCAGCCTGCCTCTCAGATGTGCCAAAGTAAAGCAGTAAGAAGTGGCTAAAATTTCAACCTTGAAACTCCCCTTTCCCCCCCACTTTTTAGACAAAAAGTTAAAATACTTAAATTAACCAATTTGTAATCACCAAGTGCAGAAATTATATTTTAAAATTTATCATGCCCAACATGATACATTTTTATTGTACATGTTATCGTATTTTTAAACTAAGCTGATTCTCATGATGCTGGAGTGCATACAACTTCATTGCTTGCTTTTCACCGGACCTTTGCTCCTCATTCTTATTTGTGTTCTAGGAAGTGATTTATCAGGCAGGGCCTGTCGTTGTAATTTAGAGAGGTGAAGAAAGTAAGAAATTGCCACTTTTAAAATTTGGGAAAAATATGAACATATTTTTTTATGACTGAAAATTAGAAATGTTTTAAAGTATACTTTCTTATTGTTATCACATAACCTGTAAAACTCTCTAAAAGTGCACCCAGCTTGGTTTTGCATTATTTTAAAAATTCCATTTGTGGCAAAAGTGGACTTTTTTTTTTTTTTTGGACTTCCTGTGGTGCCTGATTCATTAACTTCTTGTTTTTTGAAGGATCACAACCACATTGGTTAAAGCTCATCTCAGTTTTGTTCTAGTACGGTCGTTTTTCTCAGCTCTCTCCAGCCCTACTTGTAACCCTGAGACACATTTCTTTGTTTATGATGCCCTTACAGGAATTTGTAAGTGTCTGGGTTCGAGATCCTCGGATTCAGAAGGAGGACTTTTGGCATTCTTATATCGACTATGAGATATGTATTCATGTGAGTATGCAAATAGTCATAGCAATCATAGTACGTTTTAGTAGCATCTGTTCAGTGGGATACCATGATAGGCTTGAAATTTGTAAAGTTTTCCTAATTCAAAGAATTGAATTTTAATGATTACAACTTGTACTTGTATCTTAAAGGAGGTAGGTAGTAAGACGGTTCCTAAAGTTGAAAAATTACTTATTTGAGTTCCTTATTGTGCCTTTGTTAATATTAACATTTTAATGTTTATTGCCTTCATGTATGAAGACGTGACTCTGTCTAAAATTCACAGTTAAAGTTTATACCTCATTCAAGGTATTTCTTTATGATATCTATAACATATTTCTGGGTAATCAGGTATTACCTGATAAATCTTAAGTTTTTTTAGGATGTGGAATTCTCTAGAGAAGACTGTGTGGTGTTTTATATGTAGAATAAGGAAGTAGAAAATGAATATGTGCAATTATTTTGCCTTAGTCTAGATTCTGAGTAATTAACATAATAACCAGAAATGAGGTACTGTATTTGGAAATAATACTGTATCATGATCTCTTGAACATTTGGTGTGTGGCCTTCTATGATTGTCTTGAACAAGGGTCAGCAAACTTTTTCTGCTAAGGGCCAGGTAATAAATGTCTTCAGCTCTGTGGGCCATACAGTTTTTCTCGAAACTACTCAGTTCTGCTTTTGCAGGGTGAAAGCAGCCATAAACAATACATAAATGAATGAGTGTAATTGTGTTCCAATAAAACTTGATTTGTGAAGCTAAGTGGCAGACTGGATTTGTCCCACATGTTAGAGTTTTTTGGCCCTAGTCAGGAAGATCGTCACTTTCCCCCTCTGATTTAGTTCAGACTTTTCTTGGGAGCACAGAAACAGGCTCTAGCTTTATCTGTGACTACATAGCACAAGTGAAGTAAAATTTATCCACCTTTAACCTTTCCATGGTTAGTAGCTAAATGGTTGTATTGGACACCCAATCACCAGCCATAAAACTTTTTATTTTTTCCTCCTTTTGCCCCTTTTTTCTTTCAAGTTCCCCAATTTAGTAAATAAACAAAGTAAAAACTCAGAACTGCTTTTTTGATGGTTATGTTGGAAGCCGTTCCCGGGTATGCATTGTATTTTGATTTTGTTTTGGTTTTACTCATAAAGTCATACCAGACATGCATTCTGTGTTGAACATTATAACACGAGTATATAAGGCTAAACATTTGAAAGTGAAATGAAATTGTTTAGTTGCCTTTTAACTTTCTCAAAAAAGTTTGGGTCCTTATCACATACTTTATGATAGTTATGAAATGTAATTATCCTCCGGGAGTTAATGAAAGCATGGATTTTTCTCTGCTATATAAATAGCGTGATATGAATTCAGACATGTCCACCTTGAACCAGAAATGATGGGTTCCACAAATATTATTTGGTGGTGTTTTGGCATTTAAATGCTAGTACATTGGCAATGACTAAATCTTTTTAGCTTGGTAGATAGAAGAAATCAGCAAATAGATTTAGAGGAACTAATAAATTCGTGATCTCAGTGTAGCCTGCTCCTGAAGAAGCTTCCACCTCTTGTTCTGTGATTGGGAAATGGATGGGGGGACTGCAGAGCTCCAGTCAGACTGTGCCCATGGAGCTTTATAGGTAGAGAAGCTGGTGTGTGACTCATTTAAATTAACCTCAAGGGAAATGATTTCAGGTGACTCTGAAATCTTAGCATTTACTTGTAATTTTACCCTAGATTATAGAGGTGGGAAGTCCCTCATATATATTCTCCTTTGTCTGGTGTGGGTACCAGATGGATCTCCAGCATTGGCGTCTATAGTGATTTTGGACAGAGAAATACGCATACATGAAAGGGAGTTGAAATAGACTCACTCTGTCCCCAAGGCGTTGGAGTCCCTGCAGTGGCCTGCTCCTCTCTGGGGAGTACTGAAAGGATGCCTGCCCAAGCCTCGTTAGGGCGCTAATTCGGTGTAAACGGCCTGCTGTCTTAGTCCCCAAGGATCACATTAGAAGGAGGCCCTGGTGTGCTTTGAAATCCACACACAGAATGTTATTGTGCCATAAACCTTTATCCAGCACGTTTTGCTGCCTTATCGTCAACGATGATGGGATTTTGACTACTAGCCACTTTGGGGACAAGTCTCTTAACCTCTCTGCATCCTGAGGTTTTCTGAGGAGTACCAGGAATGGTGCCATACATTTCATGGGAACAATTTAAGAGCTAATACACACAATCACTTATATTTCCCAAGGAAAACAACTCCTGGGTGCTTTTTAAATGGTGGAATAAAAAACAGTTTTTGAAATAATATATATCTTGGGGGCAAAAAAATTTCATTTGTCAATATAAAGATTATGAAATATAGACTTGAAATAAACAGAGAATAGAGATCTTCTTACAAAACCAGCAGACACATATTTGCCAGTCTCTTGTGTTACCCAAAGGAAAAGCATTGCCGTTTTGCTTAGGATGGAGACACTGTAGGTGGCTTTTTCCATGCCCGCCTTAGGGTAGCTGGAAGGAAACCAACATTAGTAATTAATAACAGTGCTAATACGTAGATAACATTTGCCAAGTGTTTATCAGCCCTCACAACCACCCAGTAAAATACGTGTGTGCTATTTCATTCCCGTTTGACCCTTCAGGAACCTGGAGTTTAAGTGACTTGTCCTATAGCAGAGCCAGGCCTAGAATTTGGGTCCCCCATGTGGATACATATCCCTATGTACCACACGCCTCTCTAACTCTGATCACACTCCCTCGCACATCTTGTAAAGAAGGGAGATGCTGTCCTCTAGGTTAAAAGTGATTTCAGGATTCCTGGTGATTTGTGTGACCTGTAGTGATGGCTATATCGAGGACACAACGGCTTCCTTGATGTCATGTCAGGGACCAGGAGATGGTGTCTTTAAATCCCCAAAGGCTACTCTACCTGCATGGACAGATGAAAGGTGTTAAAATACAGCAGATGACCCTGAGTTCATTTTTAAAAAAATTTTTTTATGCTTCAGAACTTGTTTAATTTTTATGATTTGTCTTTGAAAGTGGTGCTAAGAGGTGAGCAGGAGGCCACTTTAGGACTCAGGGACTGGCTGGGTCATGCCTTACTCCAGGATAACACTGCTCATTTATGTCATCTCAGCTGCCTTCAGGGCTGTTATAGTGGTAGGTTATGTGCAAGATTTGAGTCTGGCATAAATACAAATGTATTTTTGGTTGTTTAAGTCCTATTTAAAAAATTGGGGCGGCATATAGTGAGTTATAGATATAAGAAAAGCATTTTTTTCCTCTAGTGAGGCTTATATTTGTCTTTTCTCTAAACAGACCAATAGCATGTGTTTTACAATGAAAACATCCTGTGTACGAAGAAGATATAGAGAATTTGTGTGGCTGAGGCAGAGACTCCAAAGTAATACATTTCTGGTGTAAGTAATTTAAAGAATATATTGAGGAGATGTCATTATTATATTCAATATTTAGACATTTGATATGCATAAGATTTATAGGGATATAAATTATGAAGGATTTTATAGGCATTCTTCTTGATTGCAATTTATAAATTTTTTTTTCTTTCCTAATAAGACAAGTGCCGGAACTTCCATCTAAAAACCTATTTTTCAACATGAACAATCGCCAGCACGTAGATCAACGGCGTCAGGGTTTGGAAGATTTCCTCAGAAAGTAAGTGTGCAGAAACTCTTGTGACCACACAGGAGATGCAAGAAAAGTGTTTTGCAAGAGTTTAGTGTTCTATGATCAGGAGGGGGAGAACATTACTGTTTCTGAAATGCTAATGATCCGCTCTAGCGCTAATCTCAGTAGTTCATGTCCTATATTAGAGCGCCATCTTGTGGCTCACATCATATGGTGCATATTCGGGACCAGATCTAGAAAGAGAACAATGAACTAATTGAGGCCGATAATAAATACACGGTCCCTTAAGCTGTAAAGCAGAGCCACATTACTAGGGAGTTTAGCTGACAAAAGTAAAATTTGCCAGAAAACAGATGTGCCACATTAAAACGGCACTTCTTAAAAACTGTCTGTATTTACAACATTTAGGATTGACAGATGAAAATCAGCTCTGCAGTGGGCTGCTAATGCCCTTCTGGGCTTCTCTAAATGAATCATTTAACTCTACTCTTTGGAGGGAATGTTTATGAGGGACTATTTATTGGTGTTTGATAGTCTCAGTGGGTTATTAACTCTGGATTACTTGGTGAAGGTAGGTACTGCACTTTAAGCGACTTGAGTTCACACTACTGTAATTTCCCTTTATATCCACCCTGGAATGCTGGAATACCCTTCCCATGGGATAGCAGATTGGTTTGCACACAGACTCAGAGGCCAAACTTCCTGGGTTCAAATCTTGGCTCTGCTACTTATGAGCTGGAGATTGGGCAAGTCTTTTACCTCCTCTGTGCCTTTGTTTTTCCATCTGTAAAATGGCGTGAATAATAGTACCTACTTTATAAAGCTGTCGAGAGGATTAAATGAGTTAACAGATGTAAAGCACTCACAAGTCTAGCATATAATTTGTGGTATCTAAGTATTGACCATTACTTGTTTAATGCACTTAGAAATTAAATATCTTTGAGTTAATTTTTCTAACTTCCTATATTATAGATAGGAAAACAGGCTGAGTCATTTGACTCCTAGTCAGAGGCAGACCTCAGTCACCTGAACGCTCTTTTCCTTGCAGCTTCAGGATCTGAAGTAATCTCATTTTGAGTTCACTACATGGTACCTTAGCACTAGCCTGGAATAATAATACTGCCTTCTCACCATCTGGCTCATTCATAAAGGGTTTGGGTATTAACTATACATATGAATATTAGTATTTATTTCTATTAGATTGATATAGTACCTTTCCTTTGATGGAGTCATGGAGACATACAGAAACATCCAAGATTATAAATTGAGGGAGGGCCAGTAAAGAAAAAGAAGCCAGAGGAATAAAAATGACACGAGGCCAGAAGAACCGAGTAAGTGAGCCAAGTCCTGGAAAACATGGCAGTGTATTCTCTTGGGTATCACAGGCATGACAGAACAAAGATCTGGTCATGTGTGTTCTGTCCTTTCCTTTTGGGGACAGCTCCGATTTTAATTGTTATCTGTAAGAGGCCCAGGTTGCTGGTGGCCTGTCCCTTAAGGTGTGGTCCCTGCAGTCCAAGTTTGCAGAGTGGCCTGTCGTTCTGTTGGAGAAACTGCAGACTGGCCATTGCCAGGGAGGGCTTGTCAGGGACAGCCAAATCCTGCAGTCCCCGTCTGCTCTGGGGTGCTGACTGTCTTCTGTAGAGAGGCCTCCTTATTTGAGGTCAAAGGACCTCATGTGTCTCTGTATTTATGTTGCTAGTTAAGTGCAGGACATGTGCTTTCGACCAGGAACCCCTTCATTGTTTTGCACACCTTTCCTTCCACAGATGATCCCACCAAATTAATGACTTGAGCGCCCCTGGGCCGCAGTGATGTTAACGTTTGCACCCGGTTATTTTTGCGTACTGTGTCGTCTGGCTGTTTGTGACTGAATTTGATGCAGACATTATTATAGAACATGTCCTGGATCAGGAGCTTGAAAAGCTGGGTTCCAGGTCTCCCTTGAATCTTGGCTCCTGATTTTTTTTCTGGTTACACAACCATGGAAAAGTCACTTAATTCCTTTGAGCCTTGGTTTGCTATAAAGAGTGCAGTAATGTTACCCAAGCATTGCCGACCTCACTGGGTGGATGTGTCCTTCAAACGGTGCATCGGAAAGGAAAACCTATTTATTAAGTGACTACATCGGGCCAGGCTGGGTACTGGGGATACAGGACTGCACAAATTGGACACACGTCCTTGTCTTCTTGAAGCTTGCATTAGAAGCACCAAATGTCTATCAGGGAGGGGATGGCTAGATTCCTTAAACTTGGAGCTAGTTGCATCATAGAATAGACACCAAGCTCATTCGTGAAGTTACTTGTTGCACTATGCTAGTGAACATGTGTCTCCAGGCTGGTGGTGCATCTGTGTGGTTGAACCTGAAGGGGCCAGGAGTCTAATACCCAATGGTTGGATTCAGGCCTCACCTGAATGACCGAATACTGTGGTCCCTCTTGGTCCTCCCCACCCTCCTTTCTGTGTCCCTCAGATTCTGAGGCATGGCTCTCCCATTGTTTGGTTTGTGTAGAAGTAACAACCTTCCATGTCGTCGGTACCTTGGTGTCCCGCAAGCCCAAGCCCACTTTGGGAAACGGGGTGCAACATACAACTTGCCCATCTCTGCACCGTCTCCCGACCCCTCCTTGACATCCTCTGAGGTCCATAGCTAACCCATTAAGTGCGGCCACCATCAATGTATAAATAAGTGCTTTGTTTGTAGAGCACTTTAGGAACTTGAGAGGGAGGGTACCACAGCATTACATATGCTTGTATGGTAGATTTTTATCATGAAGTTTAACACTCTGGATTTTAATTAAGTTTTAAAGTTATGAACCAAGAGCACTTGGTATGTTCCACTCGTTGAAACCAAAATGCTGCTGTCTCTGGGCATATGTAAGTGTATAATAATATAAATATAAACGTTTTTCATTTTAAGGTCATTTGTGAAATAATATGTTTAATAGCAAAGCACATATCCAGGTCACTCTTCACAGAGGAATTAGAAAGTTGTTTCTTTGACTAGGTGCCAAAAAAGAATAATTTATTGAACACTTGCTATATTTTTACATGTTTTATCTCAATACCTACAATAATATTGGGAGTTGGGTATCTCAATTTTATAGACAAGGAAATTATAGCAAGGTGGATGCACTATATTAATCCCAGGAACTGGCAAGTTTATAATTAGCAGAACTCTTAAATAGTATTAGATTAGTTAAATTTGATCAGTATGATTGTGAGATTTTTCAAATATATTCATTTCTCCTCAGTCTTGGCTATCATTTGTCTTTTGGGTTTTTTCCCCCTGACTAATCATAAGTCACTTCTACTAGTAGTTATGGGGGGAAAAGTTATAGAAATTTTAAACTCTGTTGTTAAGACTCCAACTATGAATATGGCATTACTACTACTATTTTTACGTTTGATTGATATCATGAATGGGAGCCAACTTTCCTTCTTTATTGAATTCATCCCATTAATATAACTACATCTACCTTACAGTGTAAGCTTCTGTATTACAGTTTTGTATTTAAAAATTTAAGGAATATTATGTATTTTTTTTTTTACAAAAGGATATCATGGAGACATGATAGCTAATTTTACACACACACACACACACACACACACACACACACACATTTTTGTCTTTATGTTCAATAGAGGGCACCACAGCACAGTTCATGAATGTCTTTAATGAAGATTTGTAGGTTTTATTTTTTCTCATGTTAAGAGGTGAACAAACTGAATTAATTTTCTTTCCTACATCAAACTGCTAACCTTCCACATGCTATACAGATGTGTGTATATGTATCATTATATTAGGTACAGCAGACCCCAAGCGTCCTTCGTTAGATTAAATGTTTTTGCATAGTTATATATTGTTCTCAACTGAACCAATATATAGTACACCTAATAAAATCATGTCGAGGAAAACCTGATTTTCAACTGTATCCCATTCGAGGGATAAACAGGTTTTGCTTTGTTTAGTTTAAAAGCTGTTATGGGGAAAGGAATAATTTTTTACTCACGTTATAAATATCTTTTCACAAATTCCTTCAGAATTCTAGAGGCTATTTTTTGTCCCTTTTATAAAGGCTTGAAAATTGTATACATTTATTTTTTATGGAGGCTTATACAGATGACATTTTATTGACTGTTTTACAAAGTACTCTTTATATTAAGTTTGAAGTTGATTTACTGCTATTAGGTTTGTTTGCGGGAAATGTAGCACAAATATGACTAAGGTAAAAATAGGATTTGATATGAGGATGATGGCAGTCACAGCACTCCCTGGTATATATTAAACCAGATAATAACTTAAAATGAGCTAGTTATGCTCACTGAACCAGATGGGAAAACATTCTCAAAATTTTTTACTTTTAATTTCGGAATGAAATCTCTGACTAAAAATCAAAATCAAATACATTCAAAATTATTTTTGCTTATTTAAAACTCAGACCCGTGGAGCAATGGTGGCTTCAATTTAGCCAGCCAGACCGAGGGAATTCAAAACATCAGAACTGTGCCTAAACAGATGTACTGTTTTTGAACTCTGGGCCTGTGTGGGTGTCAGATGTTCCCTCCCCAGACACATCTCCCTCCCGCTTTTCACCTGTGTGTCCTCCAGATGGCAGCATTAAGCAGAAAACACTGGGAAATAATGAGTCTAATGTACAGTAAAATTGGAAATTGAATTATAGCTCAAGAAAAAAAGACAGTAGCCTTGAGGTCCCGATCACCCTAGACTCTGATCACTTTTGTTTGCTGTACCCATGTGTTAGGTTACTAGCAAGTTAATAACAGCGCGTGAGCAGTTCAAGGCTCAGTAGAATTGCTTTAGACGTGAAATAAAGCTAAAATGAATTTGTGTCCAATATCATTGGCATTAGTGCTCATTACTTTTGTGGTGTAATGCCTTGAACCATCTAAAATCAATTTTAAAGATTACCCATTATTTTATAAAGAAAATAAAACACATTTCCAACAGAAACAAAGCAGTAAGTATAATCCTATGAACAGTTACTTGCACCATGGCTGGCAGGAAACCACTGACAGAGGGACACAGGAAACACTCCGTTCAGACTTCACAGCGAACGCAAGTTAATATTAATGGGTTGTTGCCATATAAATCTTGTCTTGATTTTGAAGTATTTAAAACAAGAGTGGTAAGCATTCATAAACGTAGAAAATAAATCTCGAAGAGTAGTAACAGGAATTTACTACTTGTGTTTGGTAAACTCATCTTTATCATGTGATATGGTCATATTGGAGAACCCAGGGCAGACGACATGGAGGGACAGGAAGTATAATATTTAGCTGCTTCGCTTGAGATTTTGGCCTTGTAAAAAGCCCAAGGGTTTTCCTTTTCCTTTTCATGGGCCAGTAAAGAATATTTTCTTGAACTACATTTGTAAGCCTATTGAAACAAAAGGGACGGCTAGTGGATACTGTGCATTTTTAGATGTTTGCCTTCTTGAAAAAAAGTGTTTTATTTTGAAGAAAAGGAAATATTCTAATGACCTTGGATTTTAAATAAATTGATATGAATAGCTCAGAGATTTACTTTTCTAATTACTTGTTAAAAAATGCAGAGCATGACGTAAGGTTCATTTGGTCTGAAATACGTAATCTATTTTTCATAGCTCTCTATATGAAAAATCCCATGTCGGGCAAAATTATACTTGAGTTTAGGTGTTTTAGTTTTTGTCTCCTATATCTGGTCTTAGTATCATTATTGAACTATTAATAGAGACTAAATTATACAAAAAATCTTTTGCTAAAAAGATAAAAAAGCTTTTATTTAAATATAAGGGTGTACTCTGACTTAATTTCCTGTTCTAAGGCATGCATCTCAGAAAAAAAACACAATCACTGATAATACGAATTTGAGCATGTGAGATTTTGCTTCAGGGTAGTTTTTACTCCTCCCTGTAGTTCTGAGGCACTAGTTGAAATCTGCCTTCTCTTTGTAAACTTGTATCTTGAACGTGGGAAGGCTAGTATATACTTATCACAAAATTACATTTTAATTATATATATGGTAAAATTGGCTGCAGCAATTTTATTTGGCGGCTCATTTTAACAACATAGAATTACATAGTGCCGTGGAAGATTCTAGAGAAATTTTTAGTCAATCTTTGGTGTTAAAAAAAAAGCTACTCTCAACTGAGGCCTTGTAAACTTGTATATAAGCGTACTTGTAAAGTTTTTTTTTTAATAAAGAAATGTATTGACTTTTTAATAGAATTTTTATTAGTGATTGAAAGTTTTGATGTTTCCTGACAGTCTAGCCAAAAAAGATCACAGGATTGACATGCTGGTTAGCAGTCAATTTTTTTTTTAAGTAGAATAAATTTCTATGACTACATAAGCAAAATATTTCCATAATTAATCCACATGGTCATAACAGATGGTTAAATTGAAGAAATGTCCTTGAAGTTATTCTTTTAACAGATGTTCTTAACTATTAGCTTCATGTTTTTACTCACCTAAATTTCCAAATAATTGAATAAAAGTTAATATATGCTTTCATCCCTTTAATAGGCAGAGTCCATAATTGCTGTAAAGTTTGCCACAGTAGAGGAATTACCTTGGTGGCACATTTCTAGTGTTTTTCTCTCTCCTACTCTATAATTGTCCATCCCCGTTCACCGATTATTTTCCTTTTTTCTCTTACACAGGGTCCTACAGAATGCACTTTTGCTTTCAGATAGCAGCCTTCATCTCTTCTTACAGAGCCATCTGAATTCAGAAGACATCGAGGCATGCGTTTGTGGGCAGACTAAGTACTCTGTAGAAGAAGCAATTCACAAGTTTGCCTTGATGTACAGACGTTTCCCTGAAGAAGATGAAGAAGGAAAAAAAGAAAATGATGTAGATTATGACTCAGAAAGGTATTTCCTTGCGTTACGATTTACGGTATGCGGATTTATATAACACATAGTGCATACAGGCACGCATATGGATAGATACACACACTTCACTTTTTTGTTGATGTAATACTAAGATAATGAAAAAATTAATTGACTGAGATTTTATTGAGCTGTGACAGCTCATCATAGTAGTCTTCACACACACCTCCACACTGAATTAATGAATGCAGTAGAAATTCAATTATCTGCATTCTGATTATGTGACTTTCATTTAGTCAGACTTGAATTATTCGCGTTTAAATTATCTAGCTAAAAAAATATCCAACTGCACTCCAAATGGCTAATTAAAAGTCCAAATTTCCTGTCTCTCTTTGTGACTGGAGATAATTAAAGTTCTCCTCTGTTACTCAGGCTTTGAGTGTGTTGTGAAAACCAATTTCCTCTTTTTATTATTTTCCCCCTCTCTTCTTTTCCAGTTCATCCTCCGGGTTTGGACATAGTAGTGATGACAGCAGTTCACATGGATGTAAAATGAACACAGCTCCGCAGGAATCCTGAAAAATAATTCTAATGTTACTATCTTAGGAATAGCAAATTATGTCCAGTCATAGAGAAGAACGCTTGCTAATGATATATTCTTACCTAACGCTCATTGTCATGACATTAGGTATTTAAATTCTTCAAGATGTTGGGTTGTTTATTAGTGATATTTTTATGTTGTCTTATTTTGGCTAAGCTTCTGTAGAAAGCTAAAAGCCTGTGAATGCAACACTCTCCTTTATAGGCCAACATTATTGGTAAAACAAGACCCTGCCCTCAAATGAAATGATGTATATGTTTAAAAAACCCTAGTTGGTTTTACTGAATTTGAAAAGATAGGTAAATAGGTAGCATTTAAAATCCAGAAAGAGCATTCCTTCATGTATCAATGGGGCAGTGTTGCCGTAAACACAGCATGTGTGAGCTCCACCACTAAGAAGACTGACAGCGGAGACCAGACTGCCTTGGTTCAGACATGTGGCTGGTATTTTGTGGGTACCTCCCCTGCACTGGGAAAACACTTTGCTTTTGGGTGTTTAAAATATTTTTGAGTGTTTAACCTTTTCGGTATTGTACTTCACACTTAGATGGGAAATGTATCTTACGAATAGAGACATGTTAAAGTAATGTTTACATCTTAGAAAAAACAGAAATAGTGCTAGTAATTTTGCTTATACTTGCAATACATAGATGCAGAAATACAGTTTCATTGTCCCAAATCGGCTTTAACACATGGTTTCCAGGAAACAAATCATTTGTTTTCATTATCATTGCATAATTAGAATTATAGGTTAATGATTTATTTTCTGACTAAATGTGCAGTTTCTTATCACTAGATAACTTTCAGTGTCAGTGGTGGTTACTTGTTACTTTAAGTTAGAAATAGGATCTTCTAAAAATTAATAAATTTAATTTTACCAATAAGTATTCCCATAATTTAGAAAAGAATAGCAACTTGCTAATTTCAGAATTAATTATTCATTTTTAAAAGCCCTTTCTTGTTAGGCATCTGCTGGAGAATTGTTATAATTTAATAAAGTCTTTTTTTTTTCAAATGGCCCAAAGAGAAAATGTCTTGGGTAAACTACATTGAACTTCAAATTTCAGATGAGGTAGCATTTTCTTGAGATAACTAAGTTTCTTCCTTGTTGAATGGTACAAAGTACCTCTGAAACTAACAGGAAACTATTTTTACATAACTGGGATGACTTGTTGCTTTAATTAAATGGTACCTCACCTCATTTTATTTTAACTAGGAGTTTTAAAGTTATTGTATTAAAAAGTCTTTGAAATGCTTGTAACTAAGAAGCAACAGAAAAAAATTTAGAATAAGAATGATTTCCATCAATTCTTGTGTTTTGTTTAGTCTAAGACATTATTGAACATTTGCAAATATTTTGATATAATGTATGCTGAATCTTGTTACTTTATCATCTAGGACTCCTTATTTGAATACTGGAAAAAAAAAGATTTAGCAGTTTCTTTTTTATCTTGCTAACATGTAAAGTCTGCCATACAGTCATGTAAGAGCGATCCCCAGCTCCTTGGCAATATGTATTTGAATTTCACATTATTTCTGTTATTCAGCAGTTTTGAAAAGCATGCAATATGCCACCAACTGTCATATTATTTTTATATAATGTAACAGGCACCAAAATGGATAATAAGTAATGCCTAATTCTGTGGTATGTAAACTACACGAGATCATTGTTTTCACATTAAACATGAAAAAGTCAACTTTAGTTTGTTGGATCACTTATTTTATACAAAAGAATATATTTCTTCTGACTTAGACTTAAATTCAGTGTGTTTGAATGATTGGTAATTTATAATGAAGAACTTTGGTAAAATTTGCTTTAATAGTCACTCTAGATGTACACTTTTGAGGCTTTTAGCCTTGGTTTGGTTGTTTTTGAAATCTAAGCACTGGCTTGTTAAAACTGATGCCCAGCAGCTGAGATATTTAGATGAACTTCTGCCCCCCATGGCTTTCTTGCTTTGTTCAAGTCTCTGTTTTTCTCTGGAGTATGTTTATAAAGCTTTCTTTAGGAAAAGAAAATAATTAGTTAAGTAACTAAACTCAATTGAGTAGCTGTTTATTTAAAACTTTTTAATGTAACTTAAAGAATTCTAATCTTGGGTGTTTTATGATTTACATACATCGAAACTGTATTCCCCAGGCTAATTCTGAAAGTGTAAACTATGCACCTATAAAACCAGTTTATGTGTTTTGTTTGAGAACTGGATTTATGTATATAACCCAAAGGTGTCAACAATGAAAGTCAACAACCTGTTACTTAGAGCTTCTTTTAAAGTCTCACTTGGAAAAAGGTGATTTAAATTCTAGTTAAAACTTCAAGTTTTAAAGTTTACTACGGAAAAACAGAAATGTTTATCTTTAAGTAGTTCTGTCCCTTAAGATATTAAGTAACTTGCAGGAGCTTTTCAAGCTGAGTTCACATTTTATTGAATAATTAAATACAAACAAGTGATATGCAACAACCTTAAAATTTATTTTATGACTATTAAGAATTTAAAATTATTTAGCCTAGCCACAAATACCATTATAGCCAACAGTAAATTGAATGTTGTTTTGAACTCAATTTATGTTTTTTTGGTGCCTTATGGATTCACCATTATTGACTACTGTGGTACAAATAAGGTTTTCAGTATTTCAGCTATAAAGGAAGACTTCTTCACAAAAGGCCTCTAAACTGTTAAGACAAGAATAACAAAACAAAAGCTTATTTTCTTTCTAAATAGTTTCCCTCTTAATATTTAAATTACTTTGTTGGTATCCTATGAATACAATGCAGCATCTCTTCAGCAGAGGAAAATTTACTTCAATACAATTTTCTGCTTTTGTTTAGAACACAGACCTTTTGTTACTTTAGTATATATAAACACAATTTCAAATACAAAATGCTGTCTGAAATTAGTTATTGCAATTTGACATTCAAACCATAGATACAATTTTCTTTGCAAATAAAGGTCATAAGAAATGAATATTTTAATAGAGTGGAGTTAGAAAATTTTAGAAGGATGTAAATAAGCAACAATTTCTTTTAAATTTTGCAATATTTACAAAGGCTTTGGCTCTCGTCTTTGCCATATACATCTCACAAACGAGCCACCATTGTCCCTTTAAGTCAGACACAATTGCTGTTAACTCTTCCTGGAACTTTTCTCGATCATTGTTATGAACAGTGCATTGGACACTAATTTTTTTTTTTAAGCTGAGCAAACTGGTAGTTAATGACCCTTTTCTCTTTCTCCTAAATTCCAAAGACTTTTCAAAAGATACAGAGGAAAAGAGAGAGAGAGAGGGAAAAAAAAAAAGCTACAATTTTCTGAATTTAAACTCTGGTCTAAAGACACTATTAAAATGACTTATGCTAAAGAGGAAAATACCCTTTCTCCCCCGACGAGAAGTGTAGATTCATCCAAAACCCCACACCGCTTGTCTTTGCTGCTAGAGGCACAGCACGGACATAACTTGTGGCTGTGTTTTTGCTAGTTTCTTACCTCTGGGCCTTCTTTATAGCTTCGCCCCCCCCCGCGCCGCGTCCCGCACACGCGCGCTCCCGCCAGCGGCGGCGACTGGGTGGCAGGTAGCTAGCCAGCCGGCCTCGGTCCGGTAACCCATGGCAACCGCCCTGGTAACCCATAGCAACTGCGCTGCGGAAAGAAAAAAAAAACCGGGTGGAGGGGGGCGGGGGGTGGTGAGGGGGAACAACAACCGCAAAAAGTCAGCGATTTACGGCCCAGCCTGCAGCGCCCTCTCCTCTGCCCCACCTGCTCCAAACGGGCACGTGAGGCCCCCTTCCCAACGTTAAAAATGACAACTCGGGCTCCTTGAAAAATAAGAATAAAACATCATAATGCAGAGAGGCCTGGGGTGGCGGGTTTGGTGTGGGAGGGGGCTTGGAATTACCGGTGACCCTCCAGGCCGCCGGGTTCATCGTTTCCAGGGGCCCCGCTGGGTTTGTGAGCGCGCGTGAAGCTGGGACCCAGCCGCCCAGGTGGGTTTCCAGGACCGCTGGGTCCGGGTCGGACGCGCCGGAGCCCAGGGAGGTGGCGGCGGCGGCGGTGGCCGTCCCCAGTCTAGGGCTGGACCCGAGTCTTTGTTCTGTGGATGCTCGCGCGGCGCTGCGATCCCCGGCCCTGCCACCCAGCCCACGAGGGGGTGACGAACCGCCGCTCGGTCCTGGGTATGGCTGAGGCCTGGAGGGTCCCCGCGAGCGTCCCGGGGTACCGGCGGGGCTGGGCGAAATGTTTTCTGTGTCCCAAATGTTTTCTGTGCGCACGCACCGCACACGTTAGTTAACCCCTTTCCCCTCTAGCCTCCCCAGGACCCTAAAATCCGCAGGACGGACGCGCCTTCGGGGTAACCCGCTCCCTCCGGTCTGGGGAGGGAGGGTACCGTCGCACCTGGTGGCAGGACTGGGCAGCGGGGAAGAAATGCGTGCCTCCGGGTCCGGAGATGGCCCCGGGCCAGGGTGTAATATGTGTGTGTGGAAGATGGGGGGCATGCGGGGTGAGACGACTCCCCCACCCCATTGGGACTAGGGCCGGGAGCCGAGCTTTCTTTTGCCCTGGAAAATAGAAGCGCGCGGCCGGTGGCATACCAGGTGCAAGGCCGCGGGAGGACAGAGGAGGGCGCTGCGGGGCCAGCGCGGCGAGAGCGTGCCGCCTGGTGTCCGGGTCTGGTTAGCAGTTGCGTGTTGGAGTGGTGGTAGGCTTCCAAGTGGAAAGAACCTGCGACCTGCAGAGATTTCAGTCTGTGCTTCGGAACATCATCTGCTCACTCCCGTATTCTCAGAAGCCCCAGCCCGCAATAAGAGGATGCAGGAAACACCCCGGAACCGGCTGCATTCCATACAGAACACCTAAGTACATAAAAAGGCCAGTCCACAAGGAACTGTAACGGGGTGAAGAGAGATTGCACAAGGAATCTGGGAGCCTGTAGTTCTAGGTCTACAGTAGTTCTAACTAGCTGTGATTCCAAACCCATTTTGATATTTTAAAAGGGAAAAGGTTTGGCCAGGATGATTCTTAAAGTCCTTTGAGATTTTAATACTAATTATTCTCCCTCAGTAGGTGTGTACCAGTTACAAATCCAAATAGCAAAGCCATCAGCAACATCCTTTCTGAAGGCAAAGGCCTGCTCAAGTACAACACACACACACACACACGCACACACACACTCACACACTGTACAATATATGTACCTGAAGAGATTAGGGCAACACTGTTTTATAAATCTCATACTTTTATTAGTAAAAGGAAAACTGGCAATGTAAAGAATCTGATTTTAATCCTTTTATAAAGAAAAGAATCTTCTGGATATATATTTCTGTTGCTGCTTAGGGAAACTTGGTTTATTTTCACAAAAATGCCTGTGCTGGGTGATTCTGCTGCCTACTGGGCACCGGGCACAGAGGAGACCGTGTGAACCCTTAGAGGTAAAAGATAGGGACTTGCTTGGTCTGGGAGCCATTCAGGACAACTCCAGCCCTCTGCATAGTGGTGTACTGGGAGCCCTGTGCTTTAATTTCATTTTTTTTTAACAAAAGCAATTACAGAAAAGTGCAAATTTAACGTGTGACATTTAACATTTTGCCGTGGCAGGCAGCCTCCACTTAAATGGGGCCTTTCTGCGGAACAACAGGAGCCAAAAGGCCTTGTGTCATGGAGTAATGTAAGACACAATCTGGGCTGCAAACGCACAATGAATCGGGAAGGATTTATGTAATTAATTGACCAGTCTTAACCTGTTATCGTGATGTAAGGAATTTGGAACTCATTAATTTGGGCTCTGACAGATTTCATATTAGAGCTGGCAAATATGGATTGAGCCTCTTATTCTTGTAGCAGCTGGAATTTCCATGACAGTGAGGATTAGTGAAGAAGACCTATTGCTGGAGTCAAACTGCCTCTTTGTAATCAGTAGCCCTGCTCTGCATTAAAGGCATAATGAAAAAAAGAAAAGAGAGAGAGAGAAAAAAAGGAAAAAGCATATTACCTGGCTGAAGGAGCAGAGGGGATTGTGCTCTCTCTGCTAGTGTGTGCGTTGAGCTCACGCCTTTGCCGTTGAAGACATGCATTTCAACCTTAAAGTTAGGTGGTGGTTTCTCAAGCACCTTGAGAGAATGAGAGGGTCCAAAGGTCTCAGGGTCAGGTTTGGTATTGTTGTCAAAGTTAAAAGGGATTAAAAGACGGAGCCTTTGAATTTCCTCTTTGTGTGCACAGAGACTGTAAGAAGAAGGGAATAGAAGTCTTAGGAGGGGCAAATGGTATTTTTTTGTAATGTCATAGCCACAAATGAGCAATTCAGAGCCTTGCAGGAGAGACTGGCTTTCTCAGATGCCACTTAACTGTCTCCTGGTCAGAGCTCCTCTGTGGACCCCCCACCCCCAAATTCCAGAACTCACATAATGAACATTTCATCTATAATCTAATCTGTGTCCTCTTCATGGTATGTAATGTTTAGTGATTTGCCCATTTAGAAATGTCTAGTTTGTTCTTTGAGATTTTAAGAAAACCCGGTAAAAATCTAACACTCATCCCCCTCCCCCGACCACCACTGACAATCAGAAAACTGCTAGGTTGAAAAAAAATGGTCCCAAGATTAAACTAAATGCTTTTGCATTTTCTTTTTTTCACAATAGGTTTCCCCTATTGCTGTGCCGTGTGATAAGGTTAATATAACAACTGCCATAAGGATCATTAATACAGGCAGATAAGCAAAGTTGCACGTTTAAAACACTTTCAGGGTATCATTTGCCTCTTTCTGCTGATAAAGAAGGCTTTGGTAACAAATGCACAACACAAACACTGAACGTTTAACTTTTCAGACAGAAAGCCCAACTGACCTTTCCTAACATGTTATTATTCATAAATACTCGTCAAAGCTGGCTGCTCTTGAAATATGTCTTTTAATTTGTACATTACCTTTTAAAAATTTCCAGTCAAACCTATCTTAAATTTTAATATAACAAATATTGTTATAACATAAATCTTTGCAAAAACAAAAAGATGTTCAACCCTGGAGGGTTGGAAATTTCCAACCCCTACCTCCCCTCACCTTTTTTTTTTTTTTCTGAATTGATTCCAACCAAATTCCAAAGTAAAGAATTTTCTGTTTAGTTAGTGATAATGGGATTTGATCTTGCAATGAAAAACTTGGTACAAAGATTTGTTTCATGATTATCTTGTTTACGAGTGATTTCTTCAGCTTTGGTTCCCTTTAAATGAATGCACGAAGATAAATGCTAGAAATTTGCATCCATATATTACTGTTATCCTTCGCATGGGGAGCAAAAAGAGGGCTAGTAGTTGTTATTGGTGTTATTATTTCAGGGGGAAGGCTGTGAAGATAAACAATGGGTATCAGCAAGACTTGGCTAACTAGTATAAACCATGACAAGGGCGATTAATAGTGTATATAAACACACTTCAAATTTGTATACACGATCTCAGCTCTCACCTAGGGATTTCTTTGTATTTTTTTTAAAGGGTAATTTGTAAGTTGACAATTACAAGGTTATCAACTCATGTGTTCTGTGTACTGTTTATATATTAGAGTTATAGAATGGACATATTGAAGTGTGATTTCCTGGAGAGAGTGTTGACTAGAAGGAAGCCTCGTGAATTGGGTCTGGCTCTGCTGTTAGCACGACCCAAAAGGCAGCTCTCACCCTCTCTGGACTGCGGTTTCCTCATCAGTCCAGTAAGATTGAATACAGAATGTCTTTAAAGGTGCTAATAAGTGTTATTAAAAATGGGGAGGTTGGGTAGAGGTTTCCATGGTCAATTACATTTCAGATACATTGGGTTAGACAGAGTTTCTCATTCCCTCTGCTTAGAAGGGTCTTTTCCTGTCCCCCTCCCAATGCGTTCTTGCTTGACTAGTTCCTGCTAGTTATTCCGATGCAATGTGCCCACTCTGACCACACTCACTACAAGTCAGGTGCCGGTTCACAGTGTTGGTGTAGCTTGACAAACCTTGTGTCCCTACATGCCTTACTGACAGCACTCATCCCCTTCATGATTGGTCACCCATCTGTCTGTCTCTCTCTGCAGGCAGTAGCGCCTGGAGAGCCAGGACTGCATTTCATCTCTGACCCCCCACTACCCAGCACCAGCCCACAGTTTAACATGGAGCACATTCTAGAGTCAATGATGAGTTACTGTCACAAGATGCGCAAAGGGCCTACAGGCCCTTCTTAAAGCAGCAGAAGTGGCAGAAGAGCTTAGAGAGTGGCAATAGGTAACTCAGAGATGGTTGTCTCCTTGAACTGGTAACTTGGATAGTCCTGAGGACGAACAAGAACCCTCTGCCACAGTGCCTCCTTTGCTATTTCTCTTCGGCAGTAGACCTTGAAATGGTGATATAATTGTCCATGTGTGAGGTCCATATGGCCATCAGTAAATGCTTTGCTCAAAATTACTCTTCATTGATCAAAAAGACCATTCGTTGCAATAGTTCACAATAATTTTGGTGAAATATTTCTTTTACTCAGCTTGTTTCTGATAAGCCACTGTGCCTAGTAGTATGCCATTCTATAAATGGCTGATGATTAAGTTGAAATATTTGACTGTGTGGACAGGTTAGCATTTTCTCCAAATCTGTGCTGCTATGTCATAGAACCCCATACAAAGCTGAAACCCAGTCTGACTTTTAAAAAGGTATTGAAGAGTAACAAAGCTTTACTAGGGTCTAAAATAAACACCGAAAGAGTCCAATTTTAACCCCTAAAACTTTCTTATGGTTCTTTTCTGAATCAGGTGTGTCCACCACTATATTAAATAGTAGACCTCCAAACTCAAAGGTGACATTTTTGTAAGGGTCTTGACAGTGAGTTGTACTGTGAGCAATTTAATTTGGTGCAGTCTAGGTATTTGTGTAGCCTGTGGTTCAGCTTGACCTCTAGAGGAACAAAAAAAAAATGTAACTGTAGTAAACACTTGTTGCATTCTGACACTGTGCTGACCTATAAGACCGCCAAAGAAAAGTCAAGGAACGGTGAAGGCAGGTGAGATGATACTGCCTGTAAAGGAGCCTGATTTGAAATAGCGTGTATGTAAATGAGGAGCTGGAGTTATAAAGAAAACACTGTAACTATAACAAAGGGTGGATCAAATGAGTGAGAAATCAACTTCTCTTACAGTAACTCTTCGAAGCAGGTGGGCAAGCCCCAAGCCAGGAAGTCATTCAGGAACCCAGGCTGGCGGGGTGGCTCTGCCATCTTCAATGTGTGCTTTCCAGTTTGCTCTCACCATTCCTATTTCCAGCCAGAAAGAAGAAAGGAGGGAACACAACTGAGGTGAGCACCATTTAATTTATTTTTCAATAGAAAATTTCAAATATATGTGAAGGTAGGGATAATGTAGTGTAATACATCCCCCTGTGCCTGTCACTCAGCTTAAAGTTATCTTCACCCGGTCAAATGTGTATCATTTGTATCTCCCAATAGGCCCGCCCCCTTTGCTGGATTACTTTAAGTTAAATCCCAGACCTCTTTAAGAAGATGAAATGGAAATTGCACACGTCACTACATCACTTGGTGTACATTCAGTCACGTGGCCACATCTAGCTGCAAGCAAGGCTGGGCTAAGTCTCTAACTGAGAAGCTGTGTGTCTGGGAAAGAGGAGAGAATGCCACATTTGAGATGATAGGATGTGGGGGGGAGTACTTGAGAAAGGCCAGAGAGATTGAAATTAAATTACTCAGGGAAAGACTAAGAACATTTCTACACTGCAGTAAAATCCAGTGATGACAACTGCATAATGACACCTTGGGAAAGACTACATACAGTGAGTCTTATGCACTTGGATTTTCAACAAATTCAACGTTTGCTAAACAAAAACAGAACAGCAAAATGAAGTAGCTTAGAAGGCCGACACAGAATCATGCTGTTTTTCTCACCTGTGTAAAATTAGCTGAGACAATGATTTTAGAGGACAGTCAATGTGTATAAATTATGAAGATAGTTTATCTGCTTCTGCTGTTGGAATCCTGTTTTTTAAGGTATTAAAAGGTGTGTGTTTAAGACTTTATGTATTTTCATGTAATGAAAAGAGAAGACACAACAGAACTTAAAATGAGCAAAAGAGAACTAGTTTAAACTAGTTTAATGAGTTAATTCATGTCGAGAAGCGTTTATTGAGCATGTACTGTATTCAGAGGATTGTCCTAGTTCCTCCATGGGATACAATAATAAACATATAATCCTTGTTCTCAGGGGCTCTCAATCTGAGGTCAGATACAAATGTAAACAGCTAAACATAATATGAGACGGAATGAATTAGTTGCCATAGTTGAGGGTAGTGGACATCCATTGTTGTACCTGCCCACTGTGCATTCTCTTCCTGCAAATCTCTTGATTTTCTTCAGAAGCAAGCCCTCTTCATTCTCAGTTCTCCTTGGAGTTGATTCAACCTGCATGCCCAGAGGCAGCTATATCCTAAGTCTAAGCCAATCAGAGCAATGGTATTTTCCTGGCCCAAGTGATTGGTTCAGGAGTGGGCACATGACTCTATCAGAACCAATGACTTTTGTGCAACTGTTGAGAAAAGAAACTCTCTTTCCTCTTCTGGGGTGGTTGAGATAGGATACAAGGCCGGAACTCTGGGAAACCATCTTGCTACTGGAGGAGTAATGCCTGCCTGAGGATGTGAGACAAAAGGATGGGCCTTGATGACATACTTTAAATCTGATAGATACGGCCCATGTCAAGCACTGCAGTAAACACATCATTCACTGGTTTCTTCGTTTATTCGAGCACTTACTCACTTTACTGGCATTGTCGCATTTAATTCCTATAACATTAATAAGAGGTAGGTACAATTATCCCCCACTGTATAGATGAACCTACTGTTAATTAATGGAAGAGTTGGAGTTGAACACAGGTCTGTTTCTAAATTCTTAATAATTTCCCTTTTCAGGAGAAAATGGCTCTGATAGACCAGCGTATTTTCTTAGCGCTTAGAACAGTGCATTCGGTTAGAAGATGCTCCTTACCTGTTCTTTGGCTGAGTGCTGTTGGTGATCTAAAGGGTGACAGTTCTGCTAACCAAAGTAGGGAGCACATGAAATGGTGTGGGAGGAAGTAGAGGAGAGGATGAGTTCAAGTGCAGCAGTGATGACTTGGGACGTGGATACAGGGAGAGATGGTATGCTCAGAGGTATAAATATGGGGTTGGAATCAGGAGAGAGGTCAAAGACACAAATTTGGAAATCCTCTGACAGGAAATTGACAACAGTCATCTTTGCATGCCAACTAGGCCTTCCTTGACTCAACATTGTAATCCCCTCTCAATTCCCTTACCCCCCCTTCCCTCCCTCCTTGCTTCCCTTTCTTTCCTGCATTGTATTCTCCATAGCACTTACCACCTATATCTGTGTTACTTATCTATTTGTTTTTACCTGTCTCCTCTGCACCCCCATTTGTACAGGGAGATCGCTGTTGTTCACGTGAATGCCACATGCCTAGGAGGTGCTCAAAATATATTTGTTGAATGAATAAATGAAAGACTAGAAGTGGATGACAGTGCTCTCTGATGGCGATGATAAATGATAGAGTAGGGTGGACAGAAGGCCAAAGAAGAGGAGATCCTGGAGGAAACTGAGAAAGTCTCAGAGGCAGAAGGTAAGTCAATCAACAGCAATCCCCAAGAGTAAAAGTAGCTGAGGGTTTCAAGAAGGCAGCAGTGGGCCGCAGGGTTCGATGTGGCCAAGAGATCAAAAATGGCCAAGACCATTATATTAGGAGCGAGTTCTCCTTGGTAGTTTTGTTCAGCATCATAATGTAGTAGCACCCGGGATTCCGTCAATTATGAGAGTTTGCGTTCTAGCCAGCCATTTGTTAGTGATTTAAATTTGGGTAACTCGCGGAACATCTGAGCCTTGGTTTCTTTACCTGTAAAATGGGCATAATACTGACTCTACCTCAAAGCATAACTTCAATGAGCTGAATTGCTGCATGTGAAAGGCACATATATGTGTGAATTATTCCTATCATTACTGATTTGCAGGGAGTAGAAGACTATAGGGAGTAAATATAGAAGAATAAAGACAGTCATGAAAATTTCCATAAGCATTATTATTTGGGAATAATTGATTTCAAGACAGAACAAAATGCACAATGATTCTCGCTGTCATTTTCAAACACCATGCGTACTCATTTGAAAGTGAGCACTTTGTATTTATGAATTTGAATTTGGGGCACTTTCTCCATCATGCCTGTTTCCGATTTTCCATGCCCCTTCCTGCTCAGGCTATTTATGCAAATACACAACCCTGAAGCCAAGATGCAACATTTCAGTCCTCTTGACAGTTGGGCTGGAGAGCTGCTTGCAACCATTCCCTTCCCCCACCCCCTCGCAGGGCATCTTGTTTTTCACCCTCTGTAGCTAGGAGGTTGCCTATCTCGTGTCTTTTTAGAAAAATCACTGATTATGTTTACACATTCACCTTTTACAAAGTAGGTTTTGAGTTAGATTAAGCCTTGGTGGCTGAAAATCTAACATTTTCTGAACATTTCCCTCAAAACCACAACCATCTTTGGCAGCAAAGAAGCTGAGGGATGAATAGGCTTCCATGTTGCTTGGTTATAGACAGGGAGATGCTGGCAGAAATTTGCAAGCATTTGCATATATACAATTGTCTGTCTGATGTTTGCTTCCTTGCTTGCTCTCCTCCTCTGCCCCCTGTTCTCTTTGTGCAGTGAATTACTAATACAAACACAGATAATGAAATTTCTGATCCCAGCCTGAACAGCCGACGCACATTTTGGAAGGTATCTGGGGAAAATGGATAGGTTCTCTCGATCTTGTTGCTTTATCCAGACAAGGAAATGAAGAGGAGAAAGTAATTACAGGGCCTTGTCTTTGAAGGTAGAATGAGTGGCACTGACAGGATTTCTTTTCAGAGAATCTTGTAGAGATGCTATTTTCTTGTTAATACCAATAGGTATTTGCCTGGAAATAGAGTTTACTTATTAAAACGTGTGTTCAGCAGATGGGACGCTCGCTGTCCACAGGAAGCAGAACAAGTTCTGTCTGTCCTTGTGGCTTCAGAACAGAGTGTGTCTAGTGGCAGGTGAAATTTGCCCCCAGCATTGAGGCATTCCCCCAGGGAAGTTATGATAGTGCAAATCCTAGAGGCAGTAGGAAAGTAAATTTGCCCCCGAAAGCATCTTTTGGTGAATCACTGCTCCTGCATACCCAGGAACCACCAGTTTCTTAAAGCAGAAGCATGACTTTCTTGGGCAACTGCAAGTGGTGGTTCAGTGGACCTGATCAGGTGATGCTAACATCAGTGATACTGAGCTTGCCTGACCCCAGAATATATCCCTAACAGCTGTTAGAAAGTTCCCTGGAGAAAAGGGCTGAAAGTCAACCTATATCAGAAACTTCTTAGGGTAACAAGCAGCATTTTCTTATACATTTCCGTGCTGTGGACCCAAAGTTAATGCCCTGGTAAGCAAGCAACTAAAATTAAGCCCGTGCTTTCTTAAACAAACAATCAAATGAATAAACAATGAAGTTTTAATTGTCAATGTACTATGTAATTCACAGCATGCCATGATCACCTTGAGTTCCAAAAATGCCTGTCAGCTCTTTACTTCTTTTTAAATAATCTTTGATTTTACCTATGGTTGACCTTTTATTATATGTCATGTAGTAAACACCAGTTTTGTTTGTCTGAACAGGTTCTAAACAACCCAATTTTGTGTTGACAGCTGGTAAGAAAACAACAAATATTTGCTTTTTATTTCATGTAAATATGTGCATGCTGTCAAACAAGACTGGCTTAAAGAGGCGAAGATTTTGTCTTTCATAGCTCAGTAAGGGACAGCTAATCTATACTGCAAACAATTTTAGATGTAGAACCACAGTGTGGAAAACACAGACCTCCCACTGACAGTAGTAGAAAACACATTTGGCTGAAAAAGGTTATGAAAATGTTTATTCTGTCGTACAGCCTAAAAGATGTTGGGAATAGAATAAAACGGAGAGAAATGGCTTAGAAGACTGTTCTCACAGCTATCACTCTATTGGAAATTAGTTTAGTGGTATTATAACACTTTAAATAGACATATCTGAAATAACTTTACATTTGAACAGGGTTAAGTAAAAAATAGTGGTAGCATTATTTTAGATAAAGTAGGTTCATTTTTTTTGAAATCACTGATATTAAAGAACTCATTGGGCAATAGCTGGGCTCTTTGCTTTCTTTCAATTCTTCGTGGCATAGCCTTTATAGCCCATAAGGAGGTAGGTAAAGGTATACTGCTACAGCTGCAGTTATGTGGCAGAGAAATGAATGAAAGAATATGTCTCTTAAAAATGAAAACAACGTTCATTGTAATGGTGCTTGTTGGACTGTATACACTGTGGAGGTTTAAGCCAGTATGTGAAATTCATTTGTAGATGTAATAGGTACCAATCTGAATATGAAATATTCATTATGTGCCATATTGCTTCTGTTTGGACTCATGCTGTCTGCCATTTTAGGTGGGATGGTGGACCGATTTCCCCCTCTGACTTATTTCCTGTTGCACGATGCCTACTGTGCAATATTACTGGGATATGTCAGCCGTGGAGCTACCTTACTGGCATGACTGTTGTCCCCACTCTCCTTTCTACAATGAAGAATTCACCGTTCAGGTACTGCCATCTGCCTTATACAACACACTTTATAACACAGAAGGAGAATTTTAATAAGACCTCCAAAAGGTCTGCTGCCATTTTTAGAGGGAAGGTTTCCTACAAAGGAAACACATGGAAACTCCCAAGAGAAAGCTGTTGAAAACACCCCCAGTGAGAGGAACTGGTGTCATCCCATTTTATTGTCTACCTGTCACCACAGCCTTCGCCTGATGCTGACAGGCTGCTCTTTTCTCTTGTAGCCAGTGCTGCTTAATGTCATTTTCTTGGTTGAACGTCTTTATTTCTGACTTGTTACAAACCATTAACTAGTTTCCAGTTTTCACTGTACTGGCTACTTTTGACTAGTAAGTCATTTGGCATAACAAGGTTTCCCTTTATCTTCCTGCTAAAGAAAATCTCTACATGAAATGATCAATCTTCCAATTTTTATGAATCCTAGCAGATAGGAAGTGCCTGTCATTGGATGCAAGGCATCTTTTCTGAAAGCATATTCCATTTCACATAATAGAACATGACAGACGCACTAGGTAACCATTAAGCTTCAAGGTTTCAAACATTTTAAGTGAAAAGCAGAGAATTTTACAAATATGCTCACTTGTGATGGTTTCAAATAAACATACATTGTTTTTAATTAGATTTGCTCGATGAAATGTTTCAGACATAAAAAATTTTGAATACGCTTTGAAAAGCACTCAGTGCTTTAACAGTTGTCGATCTCTATAAACACACTTTTAAAGTGTAGTTATGTGTAGCATTGCTAAAAATGAAGACTGGCCACTTTGGACACTGATGTTAAAAATAATATATGCCGACATGTGCCTTGGTGACATTGCTAAGCCATTAGAAGCAACTTAGACTTTAGTTCGCTTTTGGATAAAGCTACACACACATGAAATTAATGTAGCTAAAACTTTAGATAATCTTTTCCTAGATCACTCTATATTATTGAAGTTTTAAAAGTATACTTTAAAAAATGTACTTAAATGTTATGAGCAAATCTATTAATGAAATGTTACACTGTTTAAATCCTTAATATGAATATTTATTGATTCTTGCCTAATTAATGGATCAAGGAGTTTCAAAAAATCAGTCACTGGCCTAGCAATTCTACTCTAGAACTATCTTAGTGAAATCTATCTTGTGAAATGGTTGAACAAGTGCATAGCATATATGTTCAGTGTATGTGGCATTGTTTTTTAATTGTGAAAACTCTGAGCTAGCTTAACAATCAATTAATAAGGGAATGGATAAATGAGCCATGGTACCTCTATAAAATCGAACACTACGTTGTTGTTTAAAAAATGAGCTACAAATGTATGTGCTAATTTAGGGAATGTCTTTGATATATTGTTGAATGAAAAAAGCAAATTGCAGCACCGGATAGCAAGTGTGATACCATTTTTTTGAGAGTGGGGGGAACTCTCTCTCCTCATCTCCTCTACCTTTGTGTGAGCATAGAACATGGTCTGGAAGGATAAACACCAGACAACCTCTGGGTGTGAAGGAATATAGGAAATAAGAAATACCTGATTGTTTGCTTTATTTACCTCCATGTTATCTGCATTTAGAGTCTCTGATGTTTATAGACACTATGAGTTCACTTGACAATCTGATTAAATAATTTAAAAAGGAAATCTCATGTCATGGAAAGTATAGGATAACAAGAGATAAATGTAGCTACTTGAAATTGCTAACAAAGAAGCATGGCTTCCTTCCATTTAGTTAGCTCTGGCACGTAGAGCATGTGTGTCTCTCTATGTATTTTAACAACAGAACCTCAAAATCAGAGTGCACATGCTGTCAACCCTGAGTATATGTCATTCCAGGCAGCGGCAGTGGTCCTCAGTTGGTTTCTTGGTTCTGTATTTCAAGTCAGCTCATAAATTATTAATAGTACATGTGTAGGTCAGAGACACACTAACCCTGACAATCATTCCATAATATTCTCTCTTTAGCATTAGGAGAGAAGAGAAGGGAGTAATCAATATGCAACATCAGAGGTACATTTCTCATAGATATGGTATATGCACTTAGAAAAAAAAAGTCAGATCTTTACAAAAACCTGTCAGCCTGGCATTAATCTTGTATTATGAATAATGTGGCTATCTATGAATCTTTAATATTTTTTAAATGATGAAATTGTATGGTGTGCTCTACCAAAGCAAATTTGATAAAATGTGAGAATAGTTTGATCAATGAAGATGTTGATATACATGAATAAAAAAAATGTAAACCTAGCTCATTAAAGCAGAGAAAGGAACAGCTATACTTTGACCTTGGGGTAAATTTTCAGCCCCAATAAATTTAATTCTAGAATGGTCCATAATGCCTGGAAATTATTGTTTAAACAAATTATAAAATAATTGTTTGGATAAAACCATCACCCTCCTAGACCAGAAGCTCTGGTAATATACTACCAGCAACCAATATGGTGCTGGCTCCTAGTTTATAATAAAAACCATATCTGAAAATTCCTAACAAACACACAGATTAATGTTTCATGCATAAGATACAGCAGTGCTTGAGAGAGATTACGAATGCAAAGGCTTGTTAGAAATACTGTTATATTCATTTTTTCCCCCCATGAAGTAATCCTGGAATAATTTGCTCCAGATTTAATTTTCAGGGAAAGTAAGAAAAGTAGATCAAGAACTTTGCTTATAAAATTTGCCTAATGAAGAAATTTTAATCAGTGCTTGTTAAAATGGAGATAAAAATATAGTTTGTTTCTACAGATTCGAGGAGAATTAACATGCATCTGATTGTTAATATTTGATTCTTGTTTAATTATTTATGATATCAAGGAATGAATCTGTCAAGTAAATAATGAAATGCGTACATGCAGCATATGTAATTAGGTTAGGTGCATAAATCCAAAATGTTCACTTTATAGTTGTCAGTGTAAAATTTATTAATAATGAGAAATGGTAAGTGAAGAAAATTCTTAACACAATCTACCTCATTAGTGTGGATTATAGCAATTGTTGGTCAGAGAAGAAGAGGAGAAAAAGAAAAAGGGGGACAAATAGAAGTTAGGTTTCATTTTCTTAGTTGTACTTTAATTGTTTAAAAATATTAGTGGATTGGAGCACATTTTCCTTTCCCCTGTTTAGAAATGTATGATTTGAACGAATGACCTGTGGGTTTGAATGAATGCTACAAATGGAATAATTCCATATTGAAAAAATACAGACCCTAGGATTTCTAAACCCAAACAAGTATTTAATGGGGAAAATTCAACTAACGTTTGGGAAGGAAAAACCTACTTTTATGATTGAACTGTCAAATTCTAATCTTAAAATTTGGCTTAAAATTCACTAATGATGAAAAGATGGCAAGCAATGCAATATCAGCTGCACTCTTCCATTTTCCTCTTCCTTTACTAGCTGAATGGGAATGAAGGAGAGAAGCACTGCGTCAAGTATGTTCCTTGGACCCTGGGTTTGCCTGAGCTGCTGGGACAATTAAAGAAATAGACTTGAGAAGAACTCACATACCTGTGAGTGGGGCCTGATGGTATGTGGTACTAGGTGGGATCTCTGGATATGATGGGCTGGAGGTTAGAGGACACGCTGTCTGTCCCTGAGGATATAGAGCAAACCCTGCCCCTGCAGGGACCTGGCTGAGTAGGTGCCACCACCCCGTATTAAAGAATTTGACTTGATAACCTGGTTAGATTTAGTTCTGTCCTTAATGTTAATCATTAATTGCATTGTGTGGTGTAAATGGCAATCAACCAGAAAATAAGATAATGAGTTCCTACACTACTCCTAACTAGCCTGGAAACTTCCAGAAAGTTCTGTAAATTCTAGAGCCTTGCTTTCTTCACTTATCAAATTAGAGGGCTGTAATTCTGGCTTTGGTGGTTTATGATTCACAGAGCTAATACTGAAATACATTAGATTTTGTGCAAGCACTTCCATGAGCTTCTTGAAAAAAAGTGGGGAGAGAGGTAGTGTTATTATACGAACATTCATCATCTGACTGGGTATTGTTATAGAGACAGTTATACCTTTAATAGAAGATGGAAGATATAATGACAAAAGGAAGCCCATGTATTATTTCAGTAAATGATATGAATCTATTTGAATATGAAACTATTTGATATGAAACTATTGCCACCACTTAAGAAACTTCCGCCTCATGTATATAAAAGTTAAAAGAGAAGTAGAGGGCCTATTTAGGATAAGGAAGTGACATTACAAAACATAGAATGTATTTTGCAACTTTTCTACCTGCCTTGGTTAGAAGAGGGGAATGGTTATTTAATAACTTTATCCTCAAAAGCTTCTGTGATTTACAGGTTTTCAAAAGGGTAATATTCTGATGGTGAATAATCCAGTTGTCAAATTATTTGCTAAATCACAGGAATTATTTACTATTTTCCTGATCTTAATTTGCAGATGTGTACAAACTAAAGAATTTAGGGCATCTCAGACAAGAAAAAGCTAAAGGAGTTCATCACCACCAAACCAGTATTATAAGAAATGTTAAAGAGTCTTCTTGGAGGAGGGGGAGGGGGAGGGGGAGGGAGAGGGGGAAAGATAAAAAATATGAATAATAAAATGTCAATAACCACATACCTGCCATTATTTTTTTCTGTTTTGTTTATTTTGTTCTTTAGATTCCACATATAAGCAAAATCACATTGTATCTGTCTTTCACTGTCTGACATACTTCACTCAACAAAATACCCTTTAGGTCCATCCATGCTGCCACAAATGGTGAGAGCCCAATCCCTTCCATGGCGGAGCAATATTTCATTTTATATATGTATCACCTCCTCTTTATCCATTCTTCCATTGATGGACACCCAGGCTGCCTCCACATGTTGGCCATAGTAAATAATGCTGTAAAGAACATATGGATGCACACATCTCCTCAAAGTAGTGTTTTGGGTTTCTTCAGCTAAATACCCTGAAATGGGACTACGGGGTCTTTCTTTGTTAGTTTTCATAGTCTTTGTTTTAAAGTCTATTTTGTCTGGTATAAGTATTGCTACCACAGTTTTTGTTTTTTCCAATTTCATGAAATATCTTTTTTCCCCATCCCTTTACTTTCAGTCTCTGTGTATCTTTTGATCTGAAAGATCAGGGATCAGCAAACTGCGGCTTGCAAGTCACATGTAGCTCTTTGGGTACATTTCATCTGAAAAGTTTGCCAACCCCTGGAAGAGCCAATCCTGTCCCTCACAACAATTTAAAAATTATTCGAGAGCCATAAATACATGTTTACATAATCACCATTATGTGAATAATATCCTTTAAAAATTTTATAAATGAAACTATGATAGTTTTATTTTCATTTTCAATTTTACTTCAGAGTCACATGTACGTACCCAAAGAGCTGCACGTGGCTCACGAGCCGCAGTTTGCTGACCCCTGGCGGCTCTTCCATCTCAAAAGTCTGCTGACCCCTGTGAAAGACCAAAAGAGACTTCTGAAAGGCTCTCTTGTAGGCAGCATATGTAAAGATCTTGTTTTCTTATCCATTTAGCCCTCCTATGTCTTTTGATTGGAGCATTTAATCTATTTACATTTAAAGTAATTGTTGATAGATATGCAGTTATTATCATTTTATTATTCATATTTTTTATCTTTTTGTTTGTTTTTTTGTCTAAAAGAAGTCCCTCTAACATTCCTTGTAATACTTGTTTCATAGTGATGAACTCCTTTAGCTTTTTCTTGTCTGGGAAGCTCATTATCTGTCCTTCAATTCTAAATGGTAGCTTTGCTGGGTAAAGTAATCTTGGTTGTAGGCCTTTGCTTTTCATCATTTTGAATATTTCCAGCCAATCCCTCATGGCCTGCAAACTTTCTCTTGAGAAATCAATTTACAATCTTATAGGAGCTCCCTTGTAGGTAACTAATTGCTTTTCTCTTGCTGCTTTTAAGATTCTCTCTTTGTCTTTAACCTTTGGCATTTTAATTGTTATGTGTCTGGGCAACTTTGGGTTCATCTTGTTTGGGACTTTCTGTGCTTCCTGGGCTTGTATACCTATTTCCTTCTTTAGGTTAGGAAAGTTTTCAGTCATTATTTCTTCAAATAGGTTTTCAATTCTTTGCTCTCTTTCTACTTCTGGTACCCCTATGATGTGCATGTTGATATGCTTGATGTTGTCCCAGAGACCCCTTAAAACTGTCATCATTTTTTTGGATTTCTTTTTCTTTTTGCTGTTCTGATTAGATGTTTTCTGCTACCTTATCTTCTAAATCTCTGATTCAATCTTCTGCTTCATCTAATTGTTTCCATATAATGTGTTTTTCGTTTCAGTTATTGTCTTTATTTCTGACTTGTTCTTTTTCACGTTTTTCTATTTCCATTTTTATGTTTCCTATCTCTTTGTTGAAGTTCTCCCTGGGATCACTGAGCATCCTTATAACTAGTGTTTGGAACTCTGTGTCTGGTAAATTGCTTGTTTCCACTTTGTTTAGTTCTTTTTCTGGAGCTTTGTTCTGTTCGTTTATTTGGGAAGTGTTTCTTTGACTCCCCATTTTGGCTGCCTCCCTGTATTTGTTTCTATGTAGGGCTGCTATGCCTCGTGGTCATGGTAGAGTGGCCTTATGTAGTAGGTGTCCAGTGGGAACCAGTGGTGCAGTCTTCCTGGTCTCCAGAGCCAGGTGTTCCAGATGTATCCTTTGTGTGGGTTGTGTGTGTCCTCCTGTTTTAGCTGAGACTTGATTCATTTGCATATCAATGGGAGAGACTGACCCTCAGGCTGATTGGTTGTTAGGACCAGCTGTGACTACAGTGGAGGAGCTGTTGTACAGCGGCTGACCCTACAGAGCAGGGTTTGCTTTAGCAGGGCTCTGGTGCCTGCTCAGTCTGCCCTTTGGTTATGTGGTCCTTGGAGGGGGTTGGGTGATACTCCAGCCCAGTCTGAAGCAGGCCCCTGGGCATGCCAGCCCCGGGGCCTCTGGAGAGGGGACCCACTGCAGGCCAAGTTCAGCTGCAGTCTGTGCCCTGCCCAGGATCACCTGGAATGAGCCACAAAGCAATCCAGAAATGGCCACTGCCCATGCTGTGCTTGGAGGTGCCTTGAGAGGCCAAACCATGAACCAAGGCTGGCTGCCACTAGTGGTGGGCTTAGGGCTACTCAGCCAGAGGTACAGGGCACACTGAAGTCAGATGCTGTTTGTTTGGGTTTCATGAACCTTTGAGAGATTTTAGGAAAGTCTGTAGCATGAGCCAAGGCAGACGGTTTATATGGAAAAGCCACTGGAAGCAGCTTGGGTGTGCCCGAAAGTTGGAGGGGGTGTGTGGTCTCAGGGAATCATTAGGGCAGGGCAGACGAAAGGTGATAGCCTCTCAGATATAGCTTCTGCCTGCGTCTGCACGCAGGGAGGGAGAGGGCTCAACAAAGAAACAATGGCTTCTGCCAGCTCCTCTGTCTGGGAGAAAGCTGCTCCTCCAGCCCTCACCCTGCCGCCAGACAATTCAGTTCCTCCCTGTATGTCCCTTTTGCCTTTCAAACTGCTGCCCCAGCGCTGGAGCTCAGAGCGAGTGAGTCCATCAGCAAGTAAGTGTGTGCGCGGTCTCTTTAAGAGGAGCACCTGGGAGTGCAGCTGCCCTTGGTTTCACTCAGCCACAATCTCTGCTGTTTTTCACAGCCAGAAGTTATGGGGACTTCTCTCCCTGGCTCTGGGTCCCTGGGTTGTGGAGGGGCTGGGACCCCTTGCTCCTTGGGGAAGGGGGGGAAACTCTACAGCTGAGATATACCTCCCAATTTTTAATGGTCACACACGGGTATAGTACCAGCCTGTTTCGTGTCTCTGCCCCTCCTACCAATCTTGAGGTGGCTTTTTTCTGTTTGTCCGAGGTTGTAGGGCTTCGGTTCAGCTAGATTTCAGGCAATTCTCAATAATGGTTGTTCTGTGGTTTAGTTGTCATTGATGTGATCCTGAGAGGAGGTGAGCACAGCGTTTACCTACTCTGCCGTCTTGACCAGAAATCTGTACTTCCTCTTCTTGAATTGCTTGTTCATGCTTTGCTATTGGCATGATTATTTTCTTATTGATACATAAGAGCTTTTTATATATGAGGAACACATTTAGTTTTAAATGTTAAAATTACAGTTAAAAGAAAAAATGATCAGCATGCAAAGAAAGTACAAAGAGAAGAGTGTCTTGGCTGGTCTCCAGTTTTGTTCTTCTCTCTAGCAATAATTACTCTGAATAGAAATGGATTAAATGCTCTAACCAAAAGACATAGGGTGTCTGAATGGGTAAGAAAACAAGACCCATACATGTGCTGCCTACAAGAGACCCACTTCAGATTGAAAGACACACAGAGACTGAAAGTAAAGGGATGGAAGAATATATTTCATGGAAGTGAAAACAACAACAACAACAAAAAGCTATTGTAGCAATACTTATACCAGACAAAACAGAGTTTTTTGTTTCTTTTTTAGCTGAGCCATCCTGCTACCTGTTGGCAGCTCAGCGGCTGCTCAGCTCGGGCTGGACTCGAACTGCTGCTGCTCAGAGCTCAAACTCTTGAGCGAGCTCTTAACCAACTGAGCCACTCGGCCAGCCCCAGAGCTTGCACTCTTGAGTGAGCTCTTAACTGAGCCACTCAGCTGGCCTCAAAATAGACTTTAAAACAAAGGCTATAACAATAGACAGAGAAGGACCCAGCAATCCCACTTCTGGGTATGTATCCAAAGAAACCCAAGCATTAATTCAAAAGACAAATGCATCTCTATGTTTATTGCAGCATTATTTACAATAGTCAAGATATCAAAGCAATGTAAGTGCCCATCAATAGACGAATAGATAAAGAAGGGTAATATATATACAATGGAATATTACTCAGCCTAAAAAGAATGAAATCTTGCCATCTACAACAACATGGATGGACTTATAGGGTATTATGCTATGTGAAATAAGTCAGACAGAGAAAGACAAGAATACCACATGATTCCACTTATATGTGGAATCTAAAAAAAAAAACAAAATAAATGAACAAACAAAACAGAAACAAATTCATACATACAGAGAACAAACTGATGGTTGCCATTGGAGAGGGGGGTTAGGATGCTGGGTGAAAAAGGTGAAGGGATTAAGAAGTACAAATTGGTAGTTACAAAATAGTCATGGGAAAATAAAATACAGCATAGCAAATATAGTCAATAATATTGTAATAACTATATATGGTGTCAAGGGGGTCCTAGCCTTATCATGGATCACTTTGTAAGTTGTATAAATGTCTAACCATTATGCTATACACCTGAAACTAATATAATATTGAATGTCAATTGTAATTGAAAAGTAAAAATAATAAAGAAAAACAAATTTAAGGCAAAAATGGCTGAATTCAGTCAAGCATTAATATTGTTAAAGGAAACCTCTAGGTGGAATTCATACTATGGCTAATTACTTAGCAAAAAAAAAAATAGCAAAAAAATTATAATTTTACCACCCACTAAGAAAATTACCAGTTGAATTCAGCCAATTAATTTGCTAAT